TATCTAAATATATATATAATCAAGAACTAATCAATTTATTTTATTCGAGAATTATTTACATGAATATACATATAATTATTAATAACCTAATAATAATCTAGTATATATAACTATTATAGTAGAATGTAATTATTATATAATAACCATTTTTCTACTTGTGAAACCTCAACAATTAAAACTTTCAGGTAAACAAAAACCTTACACACAATTTTCCGCATTCATCCTATTCCTGCAAACGATCCTTGCCTCGCGAAAATCGTTATTTAAATCAAATTGAACCAATTTACTTAAATCAAAATTCTCGAGTCTCAAAATATTCTTCACGATTCCAAGATCGAAATTATTCCATTAATTCTACCAGTTGCAGTTCGCAGAAATCGAAAATTATCGAATCCCTTATCTCTCGAGCACAAAGACTCAGAGATTTACCGTGGCCACCGAACGGATGGTCAATTTCCGAACTAAACTTTTCGAGCGAGCGAAATTTCCCCCTGGGTTCGTTTCGAGGAAATTTTGGCAGGATCCTCGTATCGCAGAAAAAATACAGACAGCCATAGAAAGTGCCGAAAAATCACGAATTCGACGATGGCCGTAAATTTTCAGCGGAAACAGTCAGAATTCGAAACTTCGCGGTGACAGAAATCGGTTCGGTAAAAGCGCGTGTTTTATTGCAGAATACTTTCGAAGAGAATGTATTGTTATGTCACGTAGTAGTACGTGAACGAACCGCGGCTTTTACGAGGTAAAATCATGGCAATGGTTCAAAGATCTTAACTACGGCGAATTAAAAGGGCTCGTTTCTATTGTCGCACGCTAGACACGTAGTACTACGTGTTATTAAACATTGCAATGGGTTTTAACACTCTTCGTGAGAGATATGATCACGTCGAACAAACAAAATGGCGTCGCTATGTAAAAACATTGGGGACGTCTAGCTGTTATAAATTATGGCACTGCATGCAATGCTTCTAACTTTCTCTATTTTCAATTTCTCTGCTTTCCGATTATTTTCTTCGAGTTTTCCGATCTTTTCATCCCCGATTTTTAATTTTTGCAAGTTTCGAAGAATGGAACCGATTGTAATGCTATAAATATAACTTTTATAAATTATGGCATTGCATGTAATACTTCTAACTTTCTCTATTTTTAATTTGTCTGCTTTCCAATTATTTTCTTCGAGTTTCCCGATCTTTTCATCCCCGATTTTTAATTTTTTTAAGTTTCGAAGAATGGAACCAATTGTAATCCTATAAATATATAAAAACGTATTACCATGTTCTACACCTAATAATAAATTAAATTTTTATTAGCTTCGTAATCCTACATTGATTTTTTTTTGCTTTTATAATATTATTTTTAAATTATTATAATTTTTCTTATATTTATAAATTAATTAATTACTCCAATTTTACGTAAAAATTTTTAATTTAATGTACAAATTTTTATTAATTAATTTAACAATTATTAACTTTAATATTATTTATAAACTTAATTTATTTGATTTTTTCATGATTGAATCTTGTAATTTTAGTAATTTTATGATTACAAGATATTAATCGAGTTCTTGCAATTTGGGAAATAATTAATTTGCAAAATTTGCGTCGAATTCCTTGGTTTCTATAAAATATAAAGATTGGGTTCTATTCCTTGACACAATCTAAAGAGCACCACGATAATCCTTCCAAATTTTTCAATTCTTGCAAGATATAATTATCGTAATCGATTCGATGACCAAACTGAAAAATATAGAAAACATAGCACTAAGTTTAGTCCAACATCTTCGATTCTTGTAAGATATAATTAACGTAATTGATTCGATAGTCAAATTTAAAAATATAGTAGACATTGTACTACAATAGTAGTCCAACATTTACTATCCAAAAAGAGACAAATAATACAGAAGTGTTTCATTTCGACGAACCATAACCATAATCAATGTAACAATTTCAAGTTAGCATTGTAAACAATGTAATATTAGATTTCCAGCGTCCATCTTTACTTATTTAAAATATATCTAATAGTAAGCTGATAACGAGTATATCAGAATTTCTACAAATTTTCGAATATTTCGTTGCCAGTGCATGAAACAGTCAGAAATAGAGAGGAAACTATCACCGTTGCCAAATATTCCCGCGTTATTTCTAGCCACGTGTGATTTATCCGTGCATTGTTGCATAATTGTGTGTACAGCGACAATCGTTTCGCCGAGTGGAAGAATTTCTCTAACGAAAAAACCGTTTATCGATCCGATCATTTTTCAAATGGTCATTCTCGACTCGCTATCGATCAATCATATCGATCTCTCGTTATAAGATAAACGCCTGAAGCAGCGACCTATCGGATTGTTTGTCAGCTAATTTCCTAATCGCGTTAAACTATTAGATAATTGATTAAAATCTTCCTACTTCGTTAATAGAGCAAATTGGAGCGTATATATATCATTTGCACGCACACCTAGTAACTTTACGATGTTTGACAACGTGTTACGTCCTATCTTTCTCGCAGTGTAAAGCAACGCTTGTCTGACATAGTATAGATCGCTACTTCTTTACTTGAGAATTAAAGACTACGTGTACCACAGTGTAATACACGTAAGAAATTTCTTCGGCTATCAAAGTCTGTTAACCTAAGTACATTGCGTTTTATCGTTTTTGGCGGCTGTAAAGTTTCGCGAAGTTTTACGAAGTTAGGAAGTTAAGAAGTTGAAGAGCCGAAGAACGCAGTACTACATTTTTCGGCCATTTTGAGTTTAAAGATCGTAAACTCGAGATTATAATAGTTATGGTAAGTTAAAAGTTCCACATGATATTAAATTTCTTTGGAAACCAAGGACCGACCGTTTAAACGTGGTACGCCATGTTCTATAGCCATCGCCATTTTGTCTCCATTCGAGAGGTACTGTAGTATCTTATAAAGCAATAATTGTCTAATACTATGCTTAATACTACGTTTATTAATCAACG